GAAGGAGGAGGAGGCGGAGGAGGAGGAGGAGGAGAAGGAGGAGGAGGAGGAGGAGGAGGAGGAGGAGGGGGATGACGCCTTTGTTCATTGCGCCGTCTCTCCTCGCCCAGATCCCGCGGGCCCCCCGCCGCAGAAAGGACGAGGAGGATGAGGACAGGGGCAAGGACGAGGCCGACGACACCCACGACGACGCGCAGGGAAGCTGACGGCGCCGCAGATCGGGAGGGGGGCGCGGATCTAGGCGGCGGCGGCAAGGACGACGGCGGCGACGGCGACGACGGCCACGGGCGACGGCGCCGGCCACGACGGCAACCACGACAGCGACCGCGGCGGCGAGTGCGACGGCGGCGCGCGCGACGCGCGAGTGGCACGGCCGAGGCCCGGGCGTCCACGGTCATCGCGAGGGCTGGAAGCGGGCCGCCCGGCGGGGCGCGCGCGGGGGCTCGGCTCCGAGGCGCGGGGGGCCAGGGGGGGGGGCAGGGGGGGAGGTCAGGCTGCGGCAGCGGGAGAGGGCGTCCGGCCGACGGTCGCCGAGGAGCGGGCGGTGGGCACGAGAGGCATCTGCCCCTGCCCTCCGCCCGCCAGGTCGATGCCTTCTCGGGCCGCTCACACGCTGTGGCCAGGAAGGTACGGGTGGGTGAGTGGGACGGGAGAGGCTGGTCCCCTGCTTCACTCCTCCCAGGTCTCTCCCTCTCTCTCTCTGCCGGGTCTTTCTCTCTCTCTCTCTCTCTCTCTCTCTCTCTCTCTATATATATATATATATATATATATATCTGTCTCTCTTTGTTTCCCCATTGGCGCAATCATGTGACTGCCGCGCCTGCCGCACCACCCTCACAACAAACGGGCGACAGGCGGGCGGGTGATCGCCAGCTCTCGGCAGCCTGAGCCGAGGGACGGCTGATGACGAACGGATTGGGCGAGGAGGGAGCCAGCTAGGTTGTCTGAGAGACACTCAGTGCCTGTCAGACATCCTAGGTGGCTTCCTCCCCGCCAGAAGTCGACATCCCCGCGAGTTGGCATCGACACCCTAACCTTAGGGGAAGGGGTTCTGACCAGTCGCAAAAGCAGCCAAGATCTGGTCCGTGGAGGGGGGGAGGGGGGGGGAGGTCAGGAGCCCGCGCCGATCGGCGAAACAATGAATAAAAAACGGCGACCTTGCAGGAGGAGGGAGCGAGGGAGGCTTCCGCCGCCTTCGCCGGGACATCCGAAGGACTCATCGGTTCGGTCCCGGCGCCGTCCCTTCATCGGCTGCACATAAGAGTGACCCTTGGCAGGAGTGACCTCTGGTGCGCGGCTTTTTGGGGGGCGCGAGGAGGCCAACGCGCAAGCGCGCAAGACGCCACTATCGCAACGAGAGCGCGGCGATCGGGGGACCCCGGGGAGCGCGCACCAAAGGTCACTCCGGCGAAGGGTCCCTCTTACGTGTAGTCGACTTCACCCCGCGGCCTCCAGCAGGCCGCTCACCGGGGTCCCCCGATCGCCGCGCTCGTTGCAATAGTGGCGTCTTGCGCGCTTGTGTGTTGGCCTCCTCGCGCCCCCCAAAAAGCCGCGCACCAGAGGTCACTCTTGCCAAGGGTCACTCTTACGTGTAGTCGACTTCACCCCGCGGCCTCCCGCAGGCCGTCTCCGGGCCCGCGCGGCCCTCAGAGACGGATCCGGGGGCGAAAAGCCACCTCCCGGGGAGGCGGTCGAGACCGCTGGGGCCGAGGGGGGAGCGTCCGGCGCCCTCCTCGGCCGTCGGCACGCGTGCCCGATGCGATCCCCCGCAGCCCACGTCGGCACACCAGTAGCGCGTGCGGGCCACGAGAAGAAGCTTGCGGCCACGGATCGCTCGCGCTTCGCAGGAAGGGAGCGGGCACAGCTGGAGGAAAGGGGCCTTGGAATGCGCTGGCCCTTCTCGGGCCCCAGGGGACCCTGGGGGGGCGCTCCATGGGCCCTGGAGCTGTCAAAAAGACTGTCAGAAGACATGTCATGCGAGGCGGCCGTTTATCAATATCCACCGCCTGGGAATCGACGTCCTGATGCCCCAGCGGGCGGTGGATATGAATATGTTGTGGCCCCCCGGGGCCCGAATCTATCCATGTCCACCGCCTGTGGAGATCCGCGCAGATCGATCCCCCGGAATAATTCTGGATAAACCCCCGCCTCGGATGCCAGGATGAAGAACTGGCCATGGGGAAAGCGCTGGGATCTGGCACATGTACACCCCTGCTTACACTTAGGAAAAATCAGGCTCAGAAAATGGAAGACGCTCGAAGCGTGATCTTAAACCGTAGTCCAGGTCCAGATAAACGAAAGTTCTACGAACAAGGAAGCTCCGAGAAAACGCCCATGGTCCAGCCCAGATTCCTGATTCTCTCGAGCGCAATCTAGAGCCCACGAAAGCAGATGCTTTTTCTTGACACCTCTGGTGGGCGTCGCTGACCTCCCGCCTCCCAGAAGAACGAAAAAAAAGGCTCGCAGACTGCTCGGGCCAGCGCTGGCCCTCCCCTGGCGGCCCCACCGGGCGCCGCAGCCCAGCGCGCCCAGCGCGCCAGGGGAGAGTCCAGCGCTGACATGCAGTCAGAACTGATGGCACGAGGGAGCCCACACAGGACGTACGCCCCCCAGTCCGCGAGACCAGCCGCGAGATGCGAACGTTCGCGCCAATGCGTACTCTCGAAACCGACGTGGATTCATGCACATGCACGTCCTTTTTTCCTGCCCCTGAGGTACGGAGGCGCGTCAAGGATGCAAGGGCCTTGGGCGCCCATGTCGAAGCCTTTCGAGCGGGGCTGGCCGTCGAGAGCGGTCAAGGAGGGACCGAGGAGGCAAGGAGGCAAGGAGGCAAGGACACCCTTGGGAAGGCTACCCATCCTTACTGTCAGCTTCAACTGTAAGAATTCCGCGCTGACCTTCTGAAGCTACAGTCGGGGCGTTGACCTAAGGAACCCTAAATAAAGAACGAGGCCCTTTTTTCCATAAGTTAACCTTCGATCTCCTGTCGAAAACATAAGGAAAGCCTGAGGCAAGCTGTGAGACATTTAAGGAACGCGGAGCCCCTCCCCAACGAAAAGGGTTCCTCCTTCAGGGCCCCGACTGTATTCCGTTCCACTCCGTGGCAACCTTCCCTTCAGTGGCAGGGAATGTCAGACTCGTCCACACTCGCCTGGTCCCGGCGGCCACCTGCCCTAGAGCGGAGCGGCTGTTGGAGCCACGGATCAGAAAGAGAGGGAGGGGAGGAGAGGGAGAGCAGGGGAGGGAAGAACCAACCGCATGATGAGCTCCCCTGCAACCGCGGCCCTCCAGCAAACGTACGGACGTACGGAACAGGGCTGTTCAACAGGGGCACTGGGCAGTCTTGTAAACACCAGTCATGTGAGTACGGGTGGTCCTTTCCTCCCACAGAGGAGGGAGGGAGGGCACAAAAAACGGGGAGGGCGGCCACTAGGAGGGGGGGGAACACCTTCGTGGAGCCCCCGTAAAGGTGGCACTGCATGAATATCACCAGTGTCCATCTGTCCGTGACAGAGTTGTTCTCTCCTCTTGTATCTCTCTATATTTCCCTCTCTATCTCACTCTCTCTCTCTCTCTCGCTTTCTCGCCTTGTCACCAAACTGAATAAATAAAGGATGTCAGTATCTGTCCTGTCCCCCCCTCGCTTTTTTTGTCTCTCTCTCTCTCTCTCTCTCCCTCTCTCTCTCTCTCTATCCCTCGCTGTCTTTCTCGCTCGCCGCTCTCTCTCTCTCTCTCTCTCTCCCCCTTTGTTTTTCTCTCTCTCTTTATTTATATATATATATATGTGTGTGTCGCTCTCTCTCTCTCTCTGACCCTCTCTCCCCCTCGCTCTCTCCTCCATCTCCCCCCGAGTCGGTCCCAAACCCAGAGAGAGAGAGGGGCCAAGTTGCTCTCGGGGCGCGCCTGCTGGGAGGGTAGCCTCTCTCTCTCTCTATCGTGGCATCGGCCGCACCGCTGCCTGGCTCGTCGCCTCGGACTCGCGGCCTCTGGAGCTCTGGACTCGCGGAGAGGTCACGGCAAACGCGTCGCTGCTGCCCGGGCTGCACTGTGCCGTCGCCGCCGCCGCCGCCCGCGTCGCCGACGCCGCCGTCGCCGCTCGCCGTCGTGGTCGTGCCGCCGTGTGCCTCGGCGGCGAGCGAGGGTGGGAACTGAGAAGGAGAAAGCCTTCTCAGAAGGTTCGGAAGCCCCCTGGCCCTCCGATAAGTTTTCCGAGCCTTCCGCGGAGATACAGAAAACCTCTCAGAAGGCCGGAGGGCTTCGAAGCCTCGCCGCCTTCTGAGAGGGCTTTCTCCTTCTCACGTCCCCCCCTCGCTCGCCGCCGACTGTCTGTACCAGGGGACAAGTGCGGAGAGGCCACGAGCAGAGCGGCTGTCCGGAGGTCGAGTGGCGCCGCGCCCCAAATCTATCGGCCTGGGCGGGATGTGTGTGTGTGCCGTGGAGAAGGTCATGGAAGCCAGGATCAGTCGGCATCGAGGCGGGAAATCAAGTCGGATAGAAAAGTGCGTCGGGTCGGGCTGCATCGGCACGGAGCCAAAATCGGATCGGATCGGATCGGCTGCGCCAAAATGCACAACAACACAATGCGAGCATTGGGCCGCATCGGATCGTCGGAATACCGGAATCGAATGGATCGAACCGGCCAGAGCCGATATCAAATCGGATCGATCAGATCGAAATGGATCCGTAGGTGTGGGCATGAATTTGACACGGCTCCCTGGATGCACGGAGGCGGAGCCTAAAACAGTTTGGCATGAACGACGTGCAGACGTCTACCCGACAAGGCGGGCAATTTTGACTGAACGATCGGATGTCAGCCGTCTTGGACCAATCAGACTTGAACCAACCGCCACCCTTTGAACGAAACCCTGGATCAAAGCCGGGCTCGGTTTCAAGTACTGCGCGCCGAAGATTATCCCTGGTGCTACTCCCTACCGTCATCCTTATCCTCCTCCTCCTCCTTCTCCTTCTCGTGCTCCTCCTCCTCCTCCTCACGCAATGAAGCCACACAACAGTCTGATCCGAGCAACAAGATGAACATGAATGATTACGGCATCGCGGCATTTCGGCACACGAGCGTGCACAGAGAACAACGTAATCTCACGCTGCAAGGATACTGCATGAGAGCTCGTATCCTCAAGAGCAACTCTAAGGATGCACAATGGCCCGTTGAAAAGGGAGCAGCACACAAGTGAGGGCGGCTCCCACAAAATGCTGCTGTCCGCACGCCCAAAAAACTGCTGCGTGAGGATACCAGAGCACCAGAGCATCACACCAACTGAGGGTCCACCAAGCCGATAGATGCAGCACACGTCCTGGACGGGGCAATGCTTCAAAAGTGCCCCCGGCGAGAGGCCCTGTGGCACTGCTGAAATCCTCTGTTCCCCCTTTGGGGGAGCGAGACTGTGAAAGATCATGCTAGACATCTGTCTTGCTAGATATACATATATATATATATACATGCAAATATGTGTATATATATATATACATATATATACATATATATATATATCAATATATATATATATATATACACATATATATATATAAAGATCCATATATCAATATATATATATATAATAAATATATAAGGTTATATCGGTTCGCCTCCATTGTACTGTTTACTGTGAGGGGGGGGGGAGGGCAACCTCGATCGAGAACGGGGAGATGGGGCTCCGTCTCCTGGCCGCTCTGGGTCGGCCGAGGACGCCCGCAGGGACGCCACCGGACCAGCCCCGAGCGGCGCCGAGGAGGGCCTCCCGAGCCCGAGACAGCCGAAGATCGCCCCGAGATGCCTGCAAAGTTGCCCAGTAGGGCCCCAAGACGCCCCCGAGTTAGCTGGAAGTGATGAACGCAGGCATGGTCTCAACGATTTGCCCGTCCCACGCTCCGGCCCCAGGATGCAGCAAGAATGCGGCCGCAGGAACCTCACACATTGCCCAAGACTGTCCCAAGGTGGCCCAAAGGACGCCGAGATGCCTCAAAGATCGCCCAGGATGGCCCAGCAAGGCCCAAAAGTTGCCCCGATATGCCCACGAGAAACACCCAGAATGCCCCGGGGGGCCCGATCGCCCAAGATGTCCCAAAGGTGCCCCGAGAGGCCCCAAGATGGCCCGAAGTGTCCCGACAGGGCCACACGATGGCATAGCCTGTAGGGGCGGCGGCCAAGGGCGCAGCCCTGCAGATATGATCCGACGTGTGGTTTGCCAATGTAACCACGACTACCCACGAGAGACTAATCGGTCACAGACCGCTGGAAGGAGGCAACAAACCAAACGATAACTTACACTGCAGCAGGCTAAATTGAGACTTCGTCGCAGCAGGCCGCGGCAGCAAAGCGAGGCCAAATCCGAGATGAAGTGATTCTGCACCTCGCGCGGCGGCGGTCACGCCATCCCGCGCCAGTGGTCGGTGCCTCACACACAGACCTCCCCACTGGCGTCCGAGTAGATTGGGTCGGTAAATCACGCCACATCGCCGATGCATCGGCGAACTCGGCGATGCATCGCCGCTGTGGAGAAAGTCGGGCTCCAAATCGAGCCGCATCGCCGATGCATCGGCGATTCGGCGCGATCCTCCGACCCCATCTACTCCGAGCCCATCTAGGAAGCCTAGATCGCAGGCACGAGCACGGAACGACCGCCGCATCCAGAGAAAAAAAGACAGCAGGCCCCAGTGACCCCGGCACTCCTGGTGAGGGGGGCGCGCAGCTCCGCGCGCGACGCGAGACCAGCCTGGGCGGCGGGCGGGCGGCGCACGACGGCGGCCAGAGCAGCCCAGCGGCACACTCAGCCCGGGGCCGAGGGCGCAGGGCCGTCGGCCCCGCGCTCGGGCGTCAGACGCTCAGCACCTGCGGCCGCCCTGCCGGAGCCCCCGCGCAGAGGCCGCCGCCGGCCGCCACGGGCGGCGCGTCGGGCCGGGCGCCGCCCCCGTGCGGCCGCGGCGGCGGCCCAGCGGCGCCGGGGAGCAGCGGCTCGTCGCCCGCCTCGGCGCGCCCGTGCGGCGGCGGCGCGGGCTGGGCGGGCAGGTCTGGCGGCGGGGCGAGCCCGGCGCTGGGGGGCCCCGCCTCGGCCGCGGCCCTGCCCGAGGCGCCCGCCCACGCCGCGGGCGAGATCCAGCCCAGCCGCACGCACTCCCGGTAGCTCCAGTGGTGGAAGTCCTCGCGGGAGAGCTTGTAGCTCCAGAAGAACCAGCCGAGGCCGTGCCTCTGGGCGAGGCGGGTCTGCTGCCTGAAGTAGCGCCTCTGCCAGTGCCTGCCGTCGTAGTCCTTCACGCTGGTTTTCAGCGCCAGGGAGAACTCCCCGAGCACCAGTGGCAGCCCTGGCAGCGGCGGCCTCGCTCTCAACGCCTCATAGAGGGCGCCAGCCTCGCAGTGCATGCCCACGGCACCGGGCGCTTCGTGGGAGCTGCCGTGGCACTGGTAGTGGTGGTAGTTCGCCTCCCCCGTTGGGGCCGTGGGCGTGGGAGATATCTGGCCCTCCCCAGGCCTGCCCCCGAGAGGTAGAGCTTCGAGATCGGGTGGGCCCAATACCCCAGGAGAGCACCCGAAAGTGAGAGGAGCCAACATGCCGAAGTAACAGCCCAAGTGGGAGGCTGGAAGGAAGGCGACAGAGGCAACCAGAGCAGTTCAGGAAGCACCTATAAGCCCCCGCAGCCTCACGAGTCCCCAAAACAAGCCCCGAGAAGGCCCACAAGAGGCACTCACAAACTATGGCTTCCGAAACGCTTTGCTGTCTAAGATGGCGGCAGAAGGGTCCCAACACTGCCCGAGAAGGCCCTCCGAAGGCCCGACAGCCCCAGGTCCCAATGACGCACCAAATCCACACAAAGGCCGAGGGGAAGCGAGACAGCCCAAGACGGCCCCAGCGGCGGCCAGAACGGCCCAAGAGAACCCGAAGATGGCCTAAGGCTGACCCCCTGGACGTCAACAAATTTCCCAAGAGTGTCCCGAGCGAGCGGACCAGGCAGCTCAAGACGCCCTCAAACCGTCTCCCGACAGGCCCCAACAGGTGCACGAAAAAACCGAAGAGACGCCCCAAGAGGACCCAAGAAGCCCCAGGCAACTGGCATCACAGCAAGAAGTCATCGATCTCCCCCCGATGCATTATATAACATGCACGATAAGATGCATGCATGCGCATGCGCATATACGTACGCATGCATATACATCTACAACACCATACGTACGCACATGCATCAATATACACGATCCCATGTACATAGATTTGTAGAGCTACCTAAACATGCAATCACGTCTTTATATAAAAATGCACGTCTGTACACATCCACACATACACGCATGCATACGCAAACAGGTGTGCGTAATCATATGCATGTATCCATACTATCATGCAAAACCACATGTGCGCATGCGTAAAATATGTACGCCGTATATATATATATATATATATATAAACGTACATGGTTGACTATACGCATGCGTGTGCATACATATGGATGTTTGTGCATGCGAATGTATGCACCGTCGTATAGAAGCTTGTATGTGTATGCATACATATACACGCTTACAGATCACTATGTAAAGCAAAAAGTATGTACCAATTCATGTACGTATGTATACGTCTAGCTTCATACATACACGTATACATACATATATACACACAGAGAGAAGGAGGGAGGGGAGTGAGAGAGAGATAACGAGGAATACAGAGAGAGAAAGCGAGAGAGAGAGAGAGACCCCCCCCCCCAACAAAAAAAAAAAAAAAACGTTACGCGTCGCCATGCCACAAACACTGAGCGCAGTGCCCTGAATACACTTCGAGCCCAGCTGCAAATAGTGGTGAAGGGTGCCAGACCCAGCTGAGGGGTCTCTCGGGCGATCTTGGGCGCTTCCGAGCGCTCACAGGAACGGTCGCGTAACGTTTACCGAGGGTGTGTCTCGGAATCCAAACCGCCAACGTGCCTCGAAACGGTCCCAAGGGTCTGTACTGCACCCATCTTCTGGATATCGTTGGTGGCCTTGAAGGCCCTCGAGGCCAGCTCAACAATCAAAATCGTCAAAAACAATTAGCCTGGCGAAGGATCCAACCATATGCAGTTGTGAGATCCGCACTTTGTGGGCACAATCTTCGGTGGAGCTCCCTGTGGGTCACGAAACGTTGTGCCGGGTGGGGGAGACGCATGCGAACGTTACCACTGGGGTTTTCGGTAAAGCCTTTCATTGGCCACGAAAGACTGGACTGGGTGTGGCGGGCGCGTGCGGGCAGTAGCACTGGGAGCTTCGTTGGAGCTCCCTATGGGGCCACGAAACGCGTACTGTGTGGGAGACGCATGCGAACTTTGCCACTGGGGCCTTCGGTGGAGCTCCCTCCCTATGGGCCACGAAGCGATGTACCGGGTGGGGTGAACGCATGTGGACGTTGCCACTGAGGCCGTCGGTTGACCTCCCTATGGGGCCACGAAGCGCTGTACTGGTTGGGGGAGGCGCATGCGGAAAGTGCCACTGGGGCCTTCGGTGGAGCTCCCTATAGGCCCACGATGCGCTGTACTGGGTAGGGGAAACGCATGCGGACGGTGCCACTGGCGCCGTCCGTGGAGCTCCCTCTGGGGCCACGAAGCGATGTACTGGGTGTGGGGACGCATGCGGGCGGTAGCAGTGGGGCCGTCGGTGGAGCTCCCTATGGGACCACAAAACGCTGTACTGGGTGGGAGGACTCATGCGGGCGGTAGCACTGGACTGTCGGTGGAGCTCCCCATTGGGCCACGAAACGCTGTACTGGGTGAGGGAGGCGCATGCGGGCGGCAACACTGGGACCTTCGGTGGAGCTCCTTATTGGGCCACGAAACGCTGTACTGGGTGTGGCGGACGCATGCGGGCGGTAGCACTGGGACCTTCGGTGGACCTCCCAATGGGGCCACGAAACGCTGTACTGGGGTTGGCGGGCGGTAGCACTGGGACCCTCGGTGAAGCTCCCTTTGGGGCAACGAAGCGCTGTACTGGATGTGGCGTACGCATGCGGGCGGTAGCACTGGGACCTTCGGTGGAGCTCCTTATGGGGTCACGAATCGCTATACTGGGCATGGCGGACGCGCGCGGGCGGTAGTACTGAGACTTTCGATGAAGCTCCCCATTGGGCCACGATGCGCTGTACTTGGTATACACTGTGACCTCCAGCGGAGCTCCAAATGGGCCCACGAAACTCTGTACTGGGCGTGGCGTGCGCATGCGGGCGCTAGCACCGGGAGCTTCGGTGGAGCTCCCTTTGGGGCCACGAAGCGATGTACTGGGTGTAGCGGTCGCATGCGGGCGATAGCACTGGGAGCTTCGATGGACTTCCCAATGGGGCCACGAAACGCTGGACTGGGTGAGGGGAGCGCATGCGGGCGGTAGCACTGGGAGCTTCGGTGGAGCTCCCTATGGGGCCACGAAACGTGCGAGGGTTGTGCCGACATGGTGGGTTTGCGGAGAGCAGAGGCACGCATGGGAGGAGGGAGGAGGGGGAGGAGGGCGGGAGGTGACGCGGGGCGCTGTCTCTCCACAACGAGGATCCAACACCGCAGGACGGTTGGGAGTAAGCATTCGGTCGGAAGAGCGTCCAAGACGGTCCAAGAGACCCCCAAAACTCCCAAGAGGGGCCCAACATGCCTCAAAGACGGCCCCGCGGGGATGCGAAGAAGCGGGTCACAGACAGACCGGTGTAAGCCTACCCTCCTCCCCGAGGGCCTTCAAGAGACACTCAAGAGAGGCCCCTGAGAAGCCTCCGAAAAGACTCGAGACCCCCGGGAGATTTCCGGGAGGCCTCCGAGACCCTCAAGAGGCTCCCCAGGAGACCCTGAGAGTCTCCGAAAGGGCATCCAAGAGACCTCAAGAGCCCCCCCCCCAAAAAAAGTCCCAGAGCACGGTGGCGGCATGGGCCGCAGGCAACACGATACGTGCAGATGGATACGCACATGGAAACATGCCAGCACACACACACACACTCACACACACACACACACAAACACACACAAACACACACACACACACGCACGCACGCACGCACGCACGCACACACGCACACACACACACACACACACACACACACACACACACACACACACACACACACACAAACATACAGAAGCGCGCGCGCGCGTACGAAACAACATGTAAGCACACATTATCACAAACAAACGTGCACGTATATGCATACAGTACACATGGCATCCCCCAGTACGCATGTCTTCCTACTCCTTCTCAGACGCCCCTCCAGCCTCTCAACCTCCCCGACCTATTCCCACCATCATCCTCATCGTCATCCCACCACCACGACCATCATCGTATTACTCATCATCCTTATCATCGGCATCCTCCTCATCATCCCGACAGTTTCGCGACCCTCCCTTACACGCCTCCTCCTCGTCATATTCTCTCCATGCTTCAGCGGAAGGCCCACACACGATGAATCCACGGAGACTTCGGTTGCAGCGTCAGCCTAGTGGATCCAGCCACACGGGCCCCAGCTCCATCAGCTCGCGGAGGTTCGCACCGTCGAAACGGCCGACATCCCAGCAGGTGTCTATCACGAAGGGCGCCCCCTCGCGCAGGTGCGGCCTGCAGCGCTGGGCGGCCTCGGCGTAGAACCTGCCCACGCTCACCCAGCAGTCCTGCCCAAGCATCCAGCAGCAGCAGCAGCAGCAGCGGCACATCTGCCGCAGCCCAGCGAGGGGCCCCGAGAGGCCAGGTGGCAGGGGACAGCTGGTGCCGAAGGTGCTGCTCACCTCGTTGCCGAGGCCCAGGCCCAGGAAGCCCTCTCGCGAGCCCCAGCGCCGCGACCAGGCCTCGAGCACCTCCAGGTTCTCCAGGCGGTGCTTGCCCTGCAGCCACATCGGCGAGTCCGTGCGCTGCCCGCTGTGGTGCTCGCAGTTCTGGGCACCCGACGCCCCGTGCAGCTCCAGGAGGACCTTGAGGCCGAACTCCTCCGCCCAGTCGAAGGCCTTGTCGACGTAGCGCTCGGTCGGCAGGAAGGGCGTGCCCGCAGCGTGCTCCTCCAGGCACCAGTACCCCACGGGGAGCCGCACGGCGTTGACGCCGCCCTCCCGCCGCAGCCACCGGAAGTCCTCCCGGGTGATGAAGGCGTCTCGGAAGCGTGCCACCGGGGCGCGCGCCTCCGACCCCCCCTGCGCCACCAGCAGGCTCATCAGCGAGAGCTCGTCCTCGGCGGACGGGGCCAGCTCCTCGAACAGCCCCGGGGCCATCCACCTCTCCAGCAGCAGCCAGCCGCCCAGGTTGACTCCCCGCCATGGGCCCTCCGCTGGCGCGCACCCGCGCGGCGCCAGCTGCACCGCCGCCTCATCTGGCTCGTCGGCCGACTCGTCGCCGCTGAAGGCCTCCTCGCACGCAACGGTCAGCATCTCGGGGTCCAAGACGATGTCGAGGGCCTGCCCTGGAGCCCCCTGCACGGCCCAGTTTCGGCCGTGGCCCTGCCCCCCCTCGCCCGAGGCGCGGCGCGGCGACCCCCCGGGCCTCAGGGTGCCGTCGAGGCCCTCGGGGAGGACTCGGCTCTTCCAGTCGGCGCCCACCACGATCTGGAACTCCTCGGTCCTGGGCGCCTCGGCAGCGGCGCCGCCGAAGACCGCCCCGGAGGCACCCACCTCGGGGCCCGCCTGGGCCTCGCCGCGCACCCGGATGCGCTGCCGCAGGAGACGCCCGCGCCCACGCCTCCTGCGCATCGGCTCCCTGAGGATCTCCCAGTCGGTCAGGGAGCCCGCGAAGTGGAAGCCCTCCGACGCGGCGGGGGTCCCGGTGGCGGCGGGCGCCGCCATGCCGTGTGGGCACCGCGGCCGACGGGCCGGTGCGGCACGGGAAGGGCTCGAGGCTGGAGCTGATGCGGCGGGCTCGGGGCGTGACGACGTCGGCGTCGGCTTTCTGACACCGCGTGGGCCGCTCCGCGATGGAGGCTCGCGGCTTTCGGAACGCGCAGGTCGTCCGATGTCGGCCGACTCCATGCCACCGGGGACGCTCAACCTTGAGAGCCCGCGCTGGGGTCGCCGTCGCGTCGACACGACGCGGACCTGCTGCACACATACCTCGCCCGGGGGATTCGGCATCCCTGGATCCCAGTGGACGTGCACACAGCTGGCCCCACTGGGGCCCGAAACTGCCCTAACATACATGCATGCATGCATACATACATTCATACATTAGGACATACGTTCATTCATTCGTTGGTACGTACATACACACAAACATACATATCTATACATATATATATATGTACAAATACCTACACACATACACATGCATGCATACATACGTGCATGCATACATGCATTTATGAATGCATATATCTATATATATGACTACATACATACCTACATACATACATACATACAGACAGACAGACAGACAGACAGACATACATACAGACATGCATGCATACATGCATGCATACATACATACATGCGTGCATGCATAAATACATGCATACATACATACATGCATACATGCATGCATGCATGCATACATGCACACATACAACGACATGGAATGCAAGACAATACGATACAATACAATATAGTACAATACACTACAACACATACAGACATACATGCATGCATACACACACATTCATACATACATGCATGCATACACACATACGTACATGTATGCATTCATACATACACATGCATGCATGCGTACATGCATAAATTCAGGCATGCATGCATACATCCATGTATGCATGCATACATGTATACATACATGGATGCATGCAGACACGCACGTACATGCATACATTACATACAAAAATGCGTATAGACATGTAGACAGTCATTCATACAGCATACATACATACACATTCAGATATGCATGCAAACATACCTACATGCATACATACATTGAATACATACACAATCACAAACACAACCACAGACATACATACACACAGAAAGAACGACAGACAGGCAGGCAGACAGATGTACAGACAGACAGACACACGCATGCACATACATACATACCTACTGACCTGCCTACCGACCGATCTACCTATCTACATGCATACACATATGCATGCATACATACATACATACATCCATGCACCCGTGCACCCATGCATCCGTGCATCCATGCATGTATACATACATACATGCATACCTGCATACATGCATGCATACATACACATATAAATGCATACAAACGTGTATACATCCGCCTACGAACACATATGCAGATACATACACACCGTGATACCTACACATTCATACATCTACATGTACGAACATATACATGCATACAGACATGCATACATACACGCATGCATGCAACACACAGAGCACATACAATACAACTATACATACATACGTACGTACGTACGTACATACATACATACATAAATGCATACGTACACACACACACACACACACACACTGCCACCGGAAATCCCAGCCTGGGAAACAGGTTCCCTAAAGGCGGAGGATACGTATGTGACAACCCCCGCCTCGGAAGGAGAGATGGGGGGCGGGAGGGACAAACGAGGAACGACAGATCTACCACGCAAACATACCCTGACACCAGACCTGACTTCATAAGCATCTTTGTGTTGACGTCTGATCTGCCACAAAAAACCCTGTTCAAAACCTGACCTGACTTACCCCGGAAAACAGAGGGCGCGGGGGCGTAAACCGATGCCGCGCACACTCCGCCGGCGCTGCCCCGCCCTTGAGCCTCACTGCCCCTCTGCTCGCGTACTCATGTGTGTATTGCGTGTATAGCAGGACCAGAGAGCAAAAAATCTGGCAAACGGGTCGAAGCGGAATGTCAGTCGGGTCCGGCTGCATCGGCACGGAGTCCAAATCCACTCGGATCGGCTGCGCCAGGATGCACAACAACTCCATACGAGCATCTCGCGTCGTCGGAATATCGGAATCGAGTCGGATCGAGCTGGCTGGAGGCGATATCGACTCGAATCGTTCGGACCGAATGGGATCCTGGGCAGCCGAGTCCGCAAACCCTGCACCCAAACATGTGCACGTCTCGCGTTTACTTCCGCCGCCGTCCGCCAACCTTCCGCTGGCTTCCGCCAGCGGACCCGCCGCCGTGTTACTTCTGCCAGCTCCTGCAGGCCTTCCTGCCGCCTTCCGCCGAAGGCGAGGAAGCGCCGACGGCGAGGCCACTTGTGGAACGCCCTCTACGTATACAGTCATACTTGGATAAACCAAAATCTATTGGGATCGGGGTTACGAACCCGCTCACCCGCACCGGCGGAATGGCCACGTACCGATCAACTCCACGATGTGTGCCCGTCGAGGTGGCAGCGAACACAACTGCAGAGTTCGCATAACACCATGATCACAGTGGTTGGCGTGGAAGTACTGGTGGCACATGGCACAGGACGCTCTGAGCATTAGCGGGCAACCACTGCGTGCGTACATCGATGTATATCACAGACGTGCTACTCTGAGGGGTGGTCAAAGTAGCACTACTAAGCTACACAGTACATGCCACATTACAAGTGCGTTCGTCCGTATGCTCATACGCACGCTGCGCACATGTATACATAGCTCTCCCTCTGCTTCGGCTCGAGGTGTCCTGCGCCATGGGGCCCCCAGATGAGCGTCCCCGCCCCCATCGCCCCGAGCTCTGCCACGACCGGCCCCGCCACGCGATGGGGCCACCGCCACTGGGCCGCCTGGCCCCCCCCCCCTCCGCCAGCAGGCCCCCGTCAGAGTTCCCGCCAGGAGGAGAAGGAGGAGCAGGAGGAGGAGGAGGAGAGGTTTCGGGTACGATCGAGGAGGACGAGGAAGAGGAGGAGGAGGAGGAGGAGGAGGAGGAGGAGGAGGAGGAAGCGGAGGTGGAGGTGGAGGAGGAGAAGTAGGAGGACGAGGCGGAGGAGGAGGAGGAGGAGGAGGAGGTGAAGGAGGAGGAGGTTGGTGTCCTCCCAGCGAGGCGGCATTCTGGGGGCGCGGGCACGGCCTGTTTAGCAGAGGGCAGCAGGGCCGAAGGACGGCGACTGCCGCGACCCCGCAGCGTCCGCTCAGGGGAAGGGAAGGCACCGCCTGCGAGGCTAGAGGAAGAGGAGGGGGAGGACAGGGGGCGGACCGAAGAGCGCCCGACTGAGCCTGGCCCCGCGTTTCTCCTGGGCCCACGGAAGAGGAGCCGATCCTTGGCCCTGGAAGCGAACGCGATGGAGAAGAGGGGAAGGCCCGGGGAGGAGTGCCTAACGGCGACTCCCTCCCACGGGGACCCCCGCCCGTACTCCCAGCCGCCTCGTGTCAGCGCAGGACGCAGCTGCGAGACTGAGAGAACGGAGGGAGAGGGGATCACCCCAGGAGGAGCAGAGATTTGTACTACTCGGCTCCCAGTGGCCTGGCCCAGAATGACGCCTCCTCCTTCTCTGAGAAACTTGCCAGCGTGACCGCCTCTGCGTAGCCAGCCTCCCCCAGTCGCGAGCTCAGTGTCGCCCTTGTGCTGGCCTCCCGCTCAGGCGGAGCGTCCACTTGGCGAGCGCGCCAGTAGGCCTGCCGCATGGCCTCAGTCCGCTCGCATGCTGCAAGTATGTGGAAAGTGGGGCTGTGTGCAACACTGGCGACGAGCCCAACTTGACAGTGGCAGGTGTCCACGCTCACCGATATAGGCACCCACAGTCTCCGGGAGGCTTCCACATGTCTCAGGCGTTCAGCTCGAGCAGGGGCCCACCGTCTGGGGCCCAGGGAAACTCCCTTAGATCCGAGCAGGCGCGAGGATTCCGCTTGCAGCTCGCCCCACTGGTGAGCCAACAGGGTGTCCGCGGTATGGTCGCCACACGGACCCAAGCCCCTGGAGCGTGGCGCTCGCCCCCGGAGCCCATCGAGGGCTGCAATCATGGAGTGAAGGGCGAGGGGCTACGCAAGCTCGGGTGGAGCCGGATAGCTACGGAAAGCGGCTGTCCATTCCAGCCCAGGCCCAGCCTAGCCCAGCGAGGACCAGGGAGGGAGGAAGGGAGGAACATCGCGTGGTGGCAATGGGCGCCTTCAGGTCATAAAGGTCAGAGCGGCGATACGAAGTTACCCCAGTCCCAGACCCCCGTCTCTCGCCTGGGCTTCGCGATCCTGGGAGTCGAGAGCGGAAGGACAGAAGAGAGGGAGGGGGGGAGGGATCAAGCTAAGCCCACGCCCGCCCAGCCCACCCACCCCAGCCCAGCGACAGCCCCACCTCCGCCCAGCCCAGACCCATCCCTACAGACGAAGGGAAGGAGGGAGGGAGGGGAGAAGGGAACACAGCCCATCCCAGGCCATCCCAGCCCGGCCCTCAGAGAGGGAGGGCGGGAGGGGAGGGAGGCAGGGAGAGCTGGAGGCAGGGAGAGACGCCCCGAAAGCCTGGAGGGAGGGAGGGAGGGTCGGGGAGGGAGAGAGGAGGGAAGGGATGAGAGAGAGTGGGGGGGGGCTGTGCCTCGGCGACGTCATTGCTCCTCGCCCTCACCGCGATTCAGAGATATCCAGCGGGCGAGGGCCGGGGACAGGCTGAGGACAGCAGGAATGGGGAGCAAGAAGCGGCGCTACGACAAACAGACCCCAGTCCCAGCAC